AAGTGTACAGTGTTTATAAAGTCTTTACTAGTGTACAGTAATGACCGAGGCCTTCACATTCACTCACCACTTACTACTCACTGACTCACCCAGAGCAACTTCCAGTCCTACAAGCTCCATTCATGGTAAGTGTCCTACACAGCTGTACTATTTTTTATCTTTTATACTGTACTTTTACTGTACCTTTTCTATATTTAGATATACAAATACTATCGTGTTACAATTGTCTACAGTATTCAATACAGTAACAGTAACATGCTATACAGGTTTGTAGCCTAGGATCAATAGGCTATACCACATAGCCTAGGTGTGTAGCAGGCTCTACCACCTAGGTTTGTGTAACTACACTCTATGTTCACACAATGACAAAATCGCCGAAGAATGCATTTCTCAGAACACATCCCTGTTGTTTAGTGACATGCGGCTGTATCTTCTACCTAGACTCATTATATTTTCCTCACCATTTTTTCACTTCTGAAAAATACATTTATGGCCAATTGTTTTACAGAATGGCTCTCAATTTGAGTTTGGTATTTTCTCTGAGTTTTTGGCAGAGAACTATGTAAGTAACACCGTAACCTCCTCAATACATGATACCAAAAAGCACTATCAGGCACGGTGTCAGTCTGTCTCTTCACTGGTGATACTACCTTTGAACATTTGAGTAAGGGGAGACTGTCAGATCTGTCCACTGTAAAATTATCATCTGTAATTACTGTGCAACCTGTGTGGCAATATTTTAAGACGGCATAAATATCCTATAACCCTGTGGTCCTCAATCCCCAGGCCGCGGCCCCCTACTGGTCTGTGGCCTATTAGGAATGGCCGTGCATGACCGCCTGAGCTCTGCACTCCCTGCGCCCCACCCCTTGCCCCACAACACCCCATCCCTGACCCCCATTCTGTGAAAAAATTTTCTATGAAACTGGTCCCTGGTGCCAAAAAGGTTGGGGACCGCTGCATAACCCATCAAACTTTCATCCAAGAATCCACTGAGGATCCTTACCTGCAAAAATTACAACAATAATTATGAAAAAGGTCATTTCTAACAACCATTCCTTCTATAGTTATCGGTTAGCATTCCACTGTAAAAAAAAAAAAAAAAAGAGCTTTCCCTTCTCCTTCTTTATTTATTTATATTCAGTATATACTCATAAATTCCTTTTTTAACAGATTATGATCCATTTCTGTCATTTGTTTTGATTCTAATATTCTTCTGGGTTTGACTAGTGGAAGTCTTCTCAGAAAGCTGGTTAGTGGAAGCTCCTTCCTTTTTGGCACAAGATGTTCTAGAATCATCCTAGATTTCCCCTGCCCCAATCCCAGAATTAGCCATTTCTCTAAAGAATCTTGATTCTAGATATGTTTTAAGATACTCGAGTAGAATAGATGTTCGGTGTGAGAGAAAGAGTTATCAAGAGTGACTTCATGAATTTTGGGTTGCACACTTGTAGGGATAGAGTTGTCACCAATTTATATGACCCAATATGCAAGTAGAGCAGGTATGTGTATGTGTGGGGGAGGGAAGCATTCACTTTATGACAAGATAATTTGAAATGTTAGATAGACATCCAAATAAAGATGTCAAATAGGCAGCTGGATATGAGTCTAGTGTCAAGGAAAGAAGAGTGGGCTAAAGATACAAATTCAGGAATCACTGATATAGAGATGACATTTCAGCCATGAGATTGGATAAGATCATAAGAGAGTGAGAATACATAGAAAAGAGTAGAAGACCAATTACAGGTCACGAGCCTTCTCTAGGAGAAGACAAGGAACCATCAAAGAACTGAACAGGGATTTCTAGTAGAAGGAAGGAAAGCCAGGTAAGTATGGGGTCCTAAAAGGAAAGAGAAAAAAGGGTACAGAGGAGAATCAATTGAGCTAACTCTTATTGAAAGGTCAAATAAAATGGCTGAAAACTGCCTGCTGGCTTTACCAAGGCTATATATAAGAACATAAGCTCCACGTGGGCAAGAGTGTTCATTTGCTTTGTTCGATAACATATACCACATGCTCAGAACAGGTCCTGGCTCTGTTTAAGTGCTAATAAATACTTGTTGAAGAAGACATAGAAATGGCCAACAGGTATATGAAAAAATGTTCAACACCACTAATCATCAAGGAAATGCAAATTAAAACCACACCTGTCAGGGGCTATCATCCAAAAACAAAAGACAAGCGTTGACAAGGATGTGGAGAAACTGGAACTCTTGCACACTGTTGGTGGGAATGCAAAATGGCACAGTTGATATGGAAAACAAGTATGGAAGTTCCTCAAAAAATTAAAAATAGAACTACCGTATGACCTAGTAATCCTACTTCTGGGTATTTACCCAGAAGAACTGAAATCAGTATTTCAAAAAGATATTACCACTCCCACATTTACTGCAGCACTATTCATAATAGCCAAGATGTGGAAACAACCTAAGTGTCCATCAACAGATGAATGGATAAAGAAAATGTGGTATGTATACATACAATGTAATACTATTAAGCCTTAAAAATAGAAGGAAATTCTGTGATGCATGACAACATGGATGAACCTTGGGACATTATGCTAAGTGAAATAAGTCACAGGAAGGCAAATACTCCATGATTCCACTTACATGAAGTATCTAAATTAGTCAAATTCATAGAATCAAAGAGTAGAATGGTGGCTGTCAGGGGCTAAGAAGAGGAGGAAATAGGGACTTACTGGGCAACAGGCATAAAGTTTAAGTTAAGCAAGATGAGTAAGTTCTAGAGATCTGCTGTACCACATTGTACCTACAGGTCAACAATACTGTATTATAAAATTAAAAATTTGTTAAGACAATAGATCTCACGTTAAGTGCTCTTAACACAATTAAAAAATTTTTGTTGAATGAATGAATGAATACAGAGTTCATTGGTGAACTTAACAAGAACAGTCTTGGTAGAGTGATTGGGGGGAAATCCTATTTGAAGTGAGTTTGAAAGATAAGAGAGTAGAGAAAATAAGGATGTGAGTACTGAGAACTCTTCCAAGGAACTTTGCTGCAAAGGGAAGAGGAAAAATGGGGCTTTTGCTGACTGGGGACGTAGAGGTACATGAAGGTTTTTTGTTTGTTTGTTTTTTAAAGATGAGAGAAACAGAAGCATGTTCTTGTAAAAAACAATCCAATAGAGAGGCAAAAATAGATGCAGAAGAGAGAATGGAATCTTCTTACAGCAGTGTCTTTGCACAGGTAAGAGGATGAGCTCTAACAGGAAATGGGATTATTTATCTTTAGTAATAGTGAGACAGAGTATACAGGTACAGAAGGGGGTAGGGGGGCAGAGGTGTTGGGGAGCATATGGAAGACAGACCATCAAATAAAAGTAAGATGGAAGAAGTCTTAAGGCTAGAAGAAGGTATAAAATAGTCAATTAGGAAAATGGGAGAGCAAATGGACTAGGGTAAATATAGCATGACTTCCAATCACCCTTAAAGAACTACTTGATGTTCATGGTCAGGAAAAAATTTTAAAAGATTACAAAAATCCCTGGCAACTTATCCCAATATATGGAAAATGTCCATACTCATTTCCTACTTTTTAAGTGCCTTGGTATGATATGCCATCTACTTGAAGCCTGTTAGTTTTACTAGGAAAATCATTTCAGTTCTTTACCTCATAATTTTTGCATATTGTGTTTGAGTTGTTCAAACAATCTCTGTGTTCGCGTTCTAAATTATAAGCACTATGTTGCTAATTCTCAGTCATCTACTTTAAAAAATTCTACTGTGACATCTAGAGCATTTTTTAACTGTATAAAAATAACTCAGTTATAACACATGGTAGAACTTACAGATGCAAGATGAAAGCATTCATAACAAAAGATTAGGCCAAAGTTTTTTAGTGTGGGTGAAGCTGATTCTTCACTTAGCTTAGTCTGATTACAAAAATATAGGAATTAGTTTAGTGCTATTATACGAAGGTAGAGATTTAAGTATTACTCAGATTTATCATACAAGTCTACATTTTGCTTGTTTTTACTGCAACTGTGTGCTAGTACTAATGATACATTTACAGAAATGAGCAATTCACATTTTCAAGAGGGTTTGATTAAACATGGCTTCTCATTTCAATTTTTTAGGTGGTTTAAGATTTAACCTCTTAAATGCCTTAAACAACTCTTTTTTTCTGGTTTGAGTTTTTTTGTGGTTTCCTCCCTCCATCCCTCCACACCCCCACAAATAAAGTCGTAGTGAGTTATAAGATTAGAAGAATCATAGTAAAAATAAAAATTTCTTACAAATTTTAAACTTATAGGTCTCAACTAGAGAATGAGCAGGTTGTACAGTTTGTTAAGGTTTCTAAGGTGATTCTGATATGTTGTAGTCCATCTTCTCTCACCCCTAGTTAAGAAACACCGCTTTAGAAGAAACTAAAATCCTCCCTTACATTAACAATAAACAATTTCTAGAGCAAGGTTTCCTAAAATTCAATGTGCATACAAACTGCCTAGGGATCTTGTTAAAATGAAACTTTACTTCAGTAAGTTGGGTGGGGACTGGGTTTCTACATTTCTTAAAAGCTCCCAGTACCTGGTGCAGCACCTGGGATTACAGCTTGAGACTTAGGAGGCTGAGGCAGGAGACCTCCATCTCTAAAAAAAATAAGAAAAATTAGCTGGGCCGGGCATGATGGCTCATGCCTGTAATCCTAGCACTCTGGGAAGCTGAGGTGGGAGGATCACTTGAGGTCAGGAAAACTGCCCAGAGTAAATTTCAAATATACATCATTTGCTCCCTTGTACCAATCTAGAAAATGACAAGCCAAATGTATGTAATCAGATGTATGCTAGTAAAATGAAAATAATTCAAGATTTAGATCATATCTCTTAATACTTTACAATTTATTAAAAAAACAAAAATCATAATATAAAGGCAGATGACTGAACAAAGCATACTACACTTCAAGAGTTCTTGTATTTTTTTTCCTGAAATTTTTTGAGAATGAAATCTTAGGGCCTAGAGCAATGTTTATGAACTAAAATTCATTTGTATTCTTCTTTTCAAAAGTAATAATGAGTAGATGTAATGCTACATATATTTGTTTAAATCAACTGGGAAAAATTATAAAAGATATTCTGAAAATAATTACATATATTTACCTGTTCCTGGATCTTTAAAAATTAGAGCTTTAGCCAATATTGTGCCCAGTAGCTTTGAAACTGAAATCCGCACATCATAATTGGAACCTTCAAAGGACTTAAAACATAGTGTGGCCACACTGTCCAGGTCTGTACTCCACATAAATATGGCCTCATTCTGAAGTTCAAGGAGACACTATTCAATTGGACAAACAGAAATTAAACACAAACAAAATATAAATGTCAGGTTCAGATGTATATATAATAAGTTGCAGAAACTATCAGGATCTAATAAAATAATACATAAATCCAAAGTATTTATATAATAATTGTAGGAACAACAAATGAATACTTATTAAAAGTCATAAACATTATCCTATATATTTGTAACTACAAAGGGTGGGAGGGCCCATTTCTAACTCAGTGGACTATGAAAAATGCCTTTAGAATCAATCTGTTGGCTATAAGCAACCAGGAGAATAATTCCAACATTAAAAAGTGTTACTGTACTATACTGTACTGCCTAACCAACTATGTTAAGAAAGTATGATTAAACACAAAACAAAAAGAATCATTTTGAGGCTGGGCAAGGTGGCTCACACCTGTAATCCTTACACTCTGGGAGGCCGAGGCAGAGGATCGCTTGAGCTCAGGAGTTCAAGACCAGCCTGACCAAAAGCAAGATCATGTCTCTACCAAAAATAGAAAAAATTAGCTGGGTGTGGTGGTGCAGGCCTGTAGTCCCAACTACTTGGGAAGCTAAGGCAGGAGGATTGCTTGAGCAATGATTATGAGCTATGATTATGCCACTGCACTCTAGCCAGGGCAACAGAGCAAGATTCTGTCTCAAAAAAAAAAAAGAAAGAAAAGAAAATCACTTTGAAACAACATGAACCTTACATATAAATTTTAGTTTACACAATTATGGAAAGGAAGCATGGCAGAGTGGAATGAATGCTTAAGAGTCTGGAATTGAATTTCCTAGCCTCTGACGATGTGTTGCCAACTACTTGAACCTTGGGAAATTCATGTAACTCTGGGCCTCAGTTTCCTCACGTGTTAAAATGAGACAGTTAGTTCTGGCTGATTTACCAAGTTTGCAGCTCTGAAACCATGTAGCTATTACCAACACTTTTATAGAGACAATCTGATTAATTTTCCTTAATTTTTAGAAACTTTGCTTATTAGATCATTTTACCTTTGCAGCAGCACAACGAACAGCCATAGATCTATCTGTTAAGCAGGATCTAGCAGCTTTATAAACATCCCTGTAGCAAGGTGTAGCGGCAGCTCCTAGTCCATTCAATATATTTTGTAGACTCAGCATAATCTCATAACGGCCTTGTGACTACCAAAAAATAAAAAAATAAAAATTTAAAGACTAAACAGGAAAAATAATTCCACGGTGAAGAACAGCATTAAACATTGATATTTATCTCACATATTAGAGAAATACCCAGATTTTTGTGCATAGTAAACCCATTCTGACATCAAGAAACATTAACAGTTACTATTTCATAAAGTATTTATTATTTGAGGCCAGGAGTAATGGCTCACTCCCATAATCCTAGCACTCTTGGAGGCTGAGGCAGGAGGACTGCTTGAGGCCAGGAGTTCCAGACCAGCCTGAGCATAAGACTTTGTCTCTACCAAAACTAGAAAAAAATTAGCTGGGTGTGGTGGCATGCACCTCTACTCCCAGCTACTGGGGAGGATGAGGCAGGAGGATCACTTGAGTCTAGGAGTTTGAGGTTGCAGTGAGCTATGATGACGCCACTGCATTCTAGCCCAGGTGGCAGAACAAGACTCTTGTCTTAAATAAATAAATAAATAAATAAAAATAAAAAAATAAAAGAGAAAGTATTTACTATTTGAAAAGTATTACTTACATATATTACATTTCAACACACTAAAACTTTCAGCTGCTTCCCTGGAGGAAGCCTGCACCAGAGCCTAGTTGTATGTTCACGCCGCCACCAGGCCTGGCACCTGGCATACCCACATCCATGGTGACCCATGTCCCTCCCTGTGGCTGTGTGTGCACCTCGCCAGCACGCCTGATATCTGGGCACTGCACAACTAGAGTGCCTGGCTCACACATCTCACACATGGCAGCACTTGCCTTCTTTGTGTGCTGCTTGCCACTAGCTGCTGCCCATATACCTTGACTTGGCTGAGGTGGTGGGATGCCGTTAGTCATCTCCATCACAAGCAACTAAAGTTTATATCAAAAGAAATTTCATTGGTACTACCACAGTTCTACGAAAGTAGACGACTTGAAAACTTTGCCTCTTTGACTTGCACATATTTGCTTTGGATTGTGCATTAGAAGGGGTGGAAAGATGGCTGCCGAAGACTTTATGAACTTCTAATGGGATGCTCCAGTTTTTACCAGGTAATGAGCTGTATAGTTAGAAGATTCAGACTTTTTAGCAATTTTTTTGTCTACTGAGAAAAAGACAAGAAATCATGAAGACAAGAAATTTCACCAAGTAATGATGTACAATTGCCATCTTTATGATATTCATGTGGCTATTCACAGTATAAACATGTTTATCCTAAGAACTAAGTAGTAAAAGCCATTTATAGGGTGCTGCTTGTTTCTAAGCCAGCCTACTTGAAGTAGTTCTAATAAATAATAAGCATTGACTAAACTTCCTGTTTTTTTGAAACAGAGTCTCACACTGTTGCCCGGGCTAGAGTGCCATGGCGTCAGCCTAGCTCACAGGAACCTCAAACTCCTGGGCTCAAGCGATCCTACTGCCTCAGCTTCCCAAGTAGCTGGGACTACAGGGATGCGCCACCATGCCCGGCTAATTTTTCTATACATTTTTAGTTGTCCAGCTCATTTCTTTCTATTTTTTTAGTAGAGATGGGGTCTCACTCTTGCTCAGGCTGGTCTTCCACTCCCGAGTTGAAACAATCCACCCGCCTCAGCCTCCCAGAGAGCTAGGATTACAGGCGTGAGCCACTGTGCCCAGCCAAAGAGATCATTTTATTAAAAGGACACCCACACTGGCCGGGCGCGGTGGCTCACGCCTGTAATCCTAGCTCTCTGGGAGGCCGAGGCGGGCGGATTGTTTGAGCTCAGGGGTTCGAAACCAGTCTGAGCAAGAGCAAGACCCCGTCTCTACTAAAAAAATAGGAAGAAATTAATTGGACAACTAAAAATATATAGAAAAAACTAGCCGGGCATGGTGGCGCATGCCTGTAATCCCAGCTACTCGGGAGGCTGAGGCAGGAGGATCGCTTGAGCCCAGGAGTTTGAGGTGGCTGTGAGCTAAGATGATGCCACGGCACTCTAGCCCAGGCAACACAGTGAGACTCTGTCTCAAAAAAAAAAAAAAAAAAAAAGACACCCGCACTTATGTTTATGGCAGCACAATTCACAATTGCAAGGATGGAATCAACTTAAGTGCCCATCAACTGTTGAGTGGATAAAGAAAACGTGGTATATATACCATGGAATACTACTCAGCCATCAAAAGGAATGAAATAATTTCTCTTGTAGCAACTTGGATAGAACTAGAGGCCATTATCCTAAGTGAATTAACCAAGGAACAAAAAATCAAACACCACATGTTCTCACTTCTAAGTGGGAGCTAAGCAATGGGTATGCACGGTCATATAGAGTGACATAATGGACACTGGAGACTCAGAAGAGGGAGGCTAGGAAAGAGATGTACAGGATGAAAAATTACCTATTGGGTACAACGTACATGATTCAGGTGATGGGTGCACTAAAAGCCTAGACTTCTCCAGTATACAATTCATCCATGTAACAAAAAACCATTTGTACCCCCTAAATCTATTAAAATAAAATTAAAAAAAAATGAAAGAATGCAGGGTCTGATATCTACTAGCTACATAACCTAGCGCAAATCTATTTCTTTATTTGTAAAATGGAGATAATTGTTTCCACCTCATAGGTTATTGTAAGGAGTAAATTAGTTAATATGTATAAAGTGCTTAGAACAATGCCAGATATACAGCAAATGTTCAAAAGATTTGGCAGCTATTAATATTTTATCATTTATTAGTTGGAATGTTTAACTCAGAAGTCTTAGCTTTAGAATTAAAAACACCTGGGTTTGAACTTGTCTCTGACCCTCAGTAGATATGTGATTTTTAAGTTGTTTTTATTTCCTCATGTATAAAATAAAGGTAAGATAAATGTCATGGGGTAAACATTAACTACAGTGCCTAGCACATAGTAAATAGTCAAGAAACAGCTACTTGTATTATTGTTTTACTAAATGCCCCAAATCATCTCTATATCCCAGGAAGTTAAGACCATTGAAGATAGGTAAAGTTGGAAGAAGACAACAGCATCAAGCATCATTTTCATAATAATATTATTAATTTATCTTTGTTTAAAAGAGTACAAGAGTCATAGTAAAATGGGTGCTAATGGGAAACTTCTGAACTTTCTTTTATTCCAGTTTCAAATGTTTGTCACTGATGGGTACAGATCAAAGACAAGAATCCCTTTTGATATCTCTGAAATGTGGTAACTGACCAACTAAATCATAAAGAGAAAACATAGGGAAGCAATAAAATATTTACCAACATTAAAATGTTTGATATCTATAGAATATCCTCTTTAACCAAGGGGCCTAAAAAGTATTATAGCTTAACCAATGATGTTTTAAGAAAAAAAAAGTTTAAAATAGCTATATTTCAGTACATTAAAGTTCTTACAGACATCTGCTTTTAAATAAAGCCAGATTTATAGGTGTTAAAAAATCTCTTCTCCTGAATGATCTTCTTCGATCTTTAGAAAACTACTGCTGAGAAGTGATCGGCTGAGCAAATTCTCTCACCAGTTTTATGTTACAGACTTCACTTCTTAAAAGTTCTTGAATCAGCGAAATCCTCCTTGAAATTTAACATATTTCATATTTGAATTTTCCAATGTTTTGTCTTGTTAATTTTTAAAAATGTGTGTATGACCACTGAGCATTTCTATAAATTATTTCAGAACTATTTCCTAGACTATTTTTCTAAGATGAGTAACTGATGTATTATTTTTATATTTAAAGGTGCTAAGTTATCCATACATATTAGGGACCATAGATTGAAAATTTTTAATATACAAACATACAAATGCTTTTTGGCAAGAGATTACCATATCTTCGAAGTCAAATGAAGAGAAGAGAGAGTCTCAAAAACAAAGTGTGTTCCACAGTAGTAAATGATGCAAATATATCAACGAGGAGGATAAGGCTGAAAATATATTCCCCTGGCAATCAAAAGGTCATCCTGATCACACTTCTATCCTCCACTCTCTTTTCCCCCAATTATATTCCTTACTCCCTTCTGATGCCTGTACAGTAAGTAATCCATCCATCAGGTATATAGCAGTTACCAACTATGTAGTGACAAGGAATTGCTCTGGCACTAGTAAGTAGTATCAAATGGAAAAGGTGGAATGAGAGGAGGGAGCAGGGATGGGTCGGCCAGTGGAATATCTTAGTTTTTGCCCATTTGGATTTACATGAGTACACGATTCTCTTGGATTATTATTTTTCCAACAGGGATTCAATATATACAGTACATATTGTACATCACCTAGAAATAATTTACAGACATATACACATCTATATATGCCTGTCATTTGTAAAGTTCCTTTATTGGCCCAGGAAAGCATAAACCTATAAAATACAATCTTTTTATTCTTTGGCTGAACTTGTAGTTACTTACCTCTGCACTCTTCATAGCTTTAAGAATATTCCCCACTGTATCAGTAAAGGTGTTCCCCAGTATTCTACCCAACTTCTTGTACAAGGAACCCAAGCATACCACGGCAGCACTGAAAAAACATTTAAATTAGAAATTAGTCATGGCTGAAAAAATAGGAATAAAAAATCTTAGAATATGTAAAAGCGACTATTTAAAATTTTTTCCACATTCTGTTTTCTTTTCACTTTCCTGGTAGTATTTTTTGAAACACAAATGTTTTTCATTGTGATAAAAATTTATTTATATTTTCTTTTGTCAGTTGTATTTTTGGTGTTATATCTAAGAAACCACTGCTCAATCCAAAGTCATAAGATTTACTCCCATGTTTTTTCCTAAGAGTTTTATAGTTTTGGCTGTTACATTCAGATCTATGATCTATGATCTATGATCTATGATCTATGATCCATTTTGAATAGAATTTTTTAACATGATGTGATAGAAGGGTCCAACTTCATTCTTTTGCTTGTGGCTATCCAATTGTTCTGGCATCATTTGTTGAAAAAAGTAACTATTTAATTTCACTTTCAAAGGATAAAATTTCCCAGAATCTACTCTGTGGTTAAATCCTAAGGTATGACACTTAGGGGAATGTGAAATGATTATATTTTCAATAACAAGACTTTCATAAGGCTGTATTAATCTTCAGTTAACTTAAACCTCAGCCCGAAGAAGATTCTACCTTCTCAAATTTGTTACAAAATTCTACAAAATATTTCAATAGAATCTGGCTTCATATACGAGATAATCAAAGATGAACTTAAAAGATAAGTAAAAACAAGAAATAATGTTCCCATTACATTTGAAATCTGAACACTTCATGGGAGATCACATTCTGTTATAAGCTAAAAATTTCTATAGAATTACTATAGTGGAACCATACATGGCTTACTGCCTTTTCTAAAATAATAGGTGATAAAATGAGCTAAATCCCATGAGAATGAAATTAAGTTATTCTTTTTAGGATCTTAGAAGAGTATTTTTCTACATGATATTTATTATCAATTTTCACTACTAAGAACTAATAAACTAAAAAAAATCCAAAATATGAAGAATTTAAAATATCTTTTTCTTAAATACTGACTGCTAAAATTTTAGGAAAATGTTTTAAAGCTCAAATCTAGACTTTATAATGTCTAAAAATTTTTTTAAAGAACTGCTTCTCAATCAATGGAAAAAGTTATTTTTTAAAAAGTTAGATTTAAAATGAGTAAAACTGAATTTGTATCCAGTTTCATAGTAACAGGCAAGTAGTTTGGGTACTTTATAAAAATGATATAACAAGGAAGCAATATTTTGTTTTCTGTTCTAATGTTTAACTTACAGTTTAGTGGGAAGATAACTTGGAGAATCATCTTTGCTACGAATAAGATCATTACATTTATCGATTGTCTCGTAAACAGAGAATGTGTCCCCAATACTATAAAGTATAGCGAGATTCTTAGCGAGGAGTTTGCGGGTAGGAGGCCCTGGGGAGCTGTTCAACAAAGACAGGAGCTGCTCAACAAGAGTCTTCTGTTTCTCCCTTACATCACTCTAGAAAAAAAGGTAACAAAAAGACAATTTAAAATCAACACAATTTATAGGCATCCCTCTAATTTTTATTTCATATACTTAAGAATAAAAAAGGATCTAGAAAAATACAAAATTATTTTGACTAAAAGTTACAGATAAATTGGTGGCATGGTCATCATGCCACCCTAACAGGTAGTTTGTTGCCCTGCTAATATCTCAAAAAAAAAAAAAAAAAAATTCCAATTCTGAACCAGACTATACTTTAGTCTCTGTTAACAAAGATTAGAATTCCATTTATTCTAAATCTTCTTTTGTTTAAAAGATACAACAAATTTGTTTTTTAATAGAGACAGAGTCTCCCTATGTTGCCCAGGATGGTGCAGAGCTACTCACAGGCATGATCATGGCGCACTACAGCCTTGAACTCCTGGGCTCAAGCAAACCTCCTGCCTCAGCCTCCAGAGGAGCTGGAACTACAGGCACATGCCACCATGACCAAATTTGCCCTTTAAAGATTCTTAGTTATTAAGCCTATCTCCCCCATTTATATCTGCATAAATAAAGCAGTAACTTATAACTAAAGCTCACCTTATAATGGTAACCTATTTTATTCAGACATTTCTAAATTTAGTGCAATTTTCTTTTTGCAAGCTTATGCATATAAATGTTAATGTTATCCCCTTTTCCCTGTCTACTACCTAAAAAAGGAGTACAGAATATCATTACAAAGCTAATAGTATTCAGGTGCTCACTCAGGCCTAAAATTTCACAATGAAATATTTGTTAGTGTATAAAATTTGTGTTTTTAAAAAAGATTTTTCGGCCGGGGGCGGTGGCTCACGCCTGTAATTCTAGCACTCTGGGAGGCCGAGGCGGGCGGATTGTTTGAGCTCAGGAGTTCGAAACCAGCCTGAGCAAGAGCGAGACCCCGTCTCTACTAAAAATACAAAGAAATTAATCAGACAACTAAAAATATATAGAAAAAATTAGCCGGGCATGGTGGCGCATGCCTGTATCCCAGCTACTCGGGAGGCTGAGGCAGGAGGATCGCTTGAGCCCAGGAGTTTGAGGTTGCTGTGAGCTAGGCTGACGCCACGGCACTCACTCTAGTCCAGGAAACACAGTGAGACTCTGTCTCAAGAAAAAAAAAAGATTTTTCAAATCTAGAAGTTGCTTTTATTTTTCTTTTTCTTGATGATCAGCAAACTTATCAAATGTTTTACATCATGACAACCAGAGTCACAGTTTCCTATTGTCTCAGACAAGGATGTGTTTTGGAATGCTATTTTTTTTCCCCCAATTGACAAAATTTGTCTTTTGTTAAATTCTAAATGTCTCCATGATAAGTGTTTTTGTACCACTTTTTTATTACACATGGTGCTATAAGAGAAATGTCCTTATTTTTAGGAGATACATGCTAGAGTATTCAGAAGTAAAACCCCACCTCAACCACTTAGTAAATCAATCAAGCAAACCTGGAGAAATATTAATACCTGCTCAATACAGGTGATGGGCATGAGTAATCAGTTTTCTTTTTTGGTACCCGTTTCATGAGCTTTTAAGAGAGAATATGTTTATCCTAAGGCTCTTCAATTCATAGTTCCCTTAAAGTCTTCACACTTTTTTTTTTTAAGTGAAACTTCCATTACATTATTTAGCACTATAGTGTACCATGGAAGAACACAAGATGCAGAAGATAATGAAAATGAAGTATATAATACAATGTGGTTGTAGTTAATGTTTCATATATTTTAAAATAATACCAAAAATATTAGCTAATTTCTTTCTGCTTTTTTGAATGGAGCAAAGCTCTTACAATGGTAAAAATGTCAATGGGGGGCAAAAATTTTACTATATTTCATTAAGTCTTAACAACATCTAGCATTTTAAAGGTAATTTAGGTTATTCTGGACAAAACTAGAAAAGCAAACCAAAGGAACTAACATTAAAAAACACTTAAAAAACAAAAAAATAGCTTTAATCATTTCTACCCACCCTGCTGGTTGCTAGCAAGAGCTTTTCCAAATATCTCAACCACTCAAAAATAAACTCTGCCTTCTGAACTTCACCTAGTTGACTGTATGCTTCTTCATTCAGCAATAAGCTATGAGCTAATTCCATTCCTTGCAGCAAATTCTCCTAGCTGGTCACAATTCTTCTCGTTAATCGTCAGTCAGTATACCTAAGAACAAAAATCTGCAATAGAAGAAAATAACAAAATTTAAAGGAAAGTAAAAAGGAAGACAATCATAATATTAGAAATCTTTCACAGAAAAGTGAAAACATAATTAAATGTATATACTTTTTATAACTGCTCTAGGGTGAATCTAAGAAAATCCCAATAATAAGTTCTAGTTAATATTGACACAAAAATCCACCTTTGTATTCTGTACTCCTTTTTTTTTTTTCCTGAGACAGGATCTTCTCTGTCACCCAGGCTAGAGTGCAGTGGCCTCATCACAGTTAGCTGCAACCTCGAACTCCTGGGCTCAAGCAATACTCTCTGCCTTGGCCTCCCAGTGCCTAACCTGTACTCCTTTTTTAAGAAAGCAGAGGGCAAAATAGAGTAGTATTACTGGCACTAGTATGCAAAAACTTGCTAAATAAAAGAGATGTTCCACTAAAATTCTAGAAATTTTAAGTTTAGACTACTCAGTGTTAGGTTTTCAGTTTTCCTTGTAGTTTAAATACATTTTACTAAAATGGGTCACAGGTTCATATTAACTAATGACCAAATATCCAGACCTCTCATGCCCTGTCATTTACCTGGAGATCCAAACCATGAGAGGGACTTAAGCCCATTAGCATCTGCTCCCCTTTAGGAAAGTGTCCCATCCCATCTAGTAGAGTTTCTTCTCCTCTGAGAGCCTTGTGAAAGCAAACTTTTTTTTTTTTCCTGAAGGCACTTGAATGGATGTTGTCCAGGAATAACAGCAATAAAGATCATATCTGCTCTGACCCAGATCCAATGTAGCCTAAATTTTGTTGTAGTAAATAATCAGTAGAAGACACAGGAGGTTTATTTGGTTTGTTTTATTCATCAGCATCTCCTGGATACACGCAGGTGCTGTTACAGAACAAACACAACATTTAAATGTGTGTGTATGTATATTCGCACACAAATTTACAAGATGGCATTGTGATTATGAGCAGAATTTTTTATTTTTAGGAGGAACATGCTTTACTGCAACTCACTTTCAAATAGTTAAGTAAATCAATCACTCGACCATAAAATACAGCAAAATTTTAACAGTTGAATACAAGTAGTGGCTATGTGAGTAATCATTTTACTCTTCTTCATTTTTCTACATTTTTTAAAAGATCACAGTAAAAAAGCAGGAAAAGTTATGTAAGTAATTACAAAAAATTACTACTACTTGCAGGAAGAATAGCAGCCATTATCAGGAACACTAAACAACAGAGAAGCTACCATACATACACAAAAAATGGGTACTCGTGTTCACTAACGTATCAAAAAGAAATCTGAGTAGAATTCCAAACTAAACAGAAACCGGTAATTGGATTTCATAGAACTATAAATAGAATGCTATGGATAAACTATTTACAATGCATGCCTCTCGTTCCCCTCAACAAATCTCAATCTTTTACAGAGAAGCAAGTAAAGATGTATTAGAAAATTATTATAGATGAGAGACATAGGGAAGGCCTTTATTTTCTTTCATTTTTTTTCTCCTGGAGAGTTTACCAGTATAAAATTACTTAAAGTATTAGATCATCATAATTATTATGTAACTGAAAAGATTCTCTTTTTAAAAAACAGTAGTCACGAACTGGTTCCCCGTCGGCCAAATCTGGCATGTAAGGCACTGGGGAAAAAATTAGTTGCTAACATTTAAACATGAGAAGACTACACATAAAAATCTGGGTCTATATTCTCATACAGCCATAAATGCCTTAATCTAAAATGAGCAGGACTCTCCAGTAGGCCACAGTTGCCACCTAGTCTGCTTTATTCACTTACATTATTTGCCAACTTCTATGGTCTTTTATTTATTTATTTATTTTATTTATTTATTTTTTTTGAGACAGAGTCTCACTGTGTTGCCCGGGCTAGAGTGCCGTGGCGTCAGCCTAGCTCACAGCAACCTCAGACTCCTGGGCTCAAGCGATCCTCCTGCCTCAGCCTCCCGAGTAGCTGGGACTACAGGCATGTGCCACCATGCCTGGCTAATTTTTTTCCTATATATATTTTTAGCTGTGCAATTAATTTCTTTCTATTTTTGGTAGAGACAGGGGTCTCGCTCTTGCTCAGGCTGGTCTCGAACTCCTGAGCTCAAACAATCTACCCGCCTCAGCCTCCCAGAGTGCTAGGATTACAGGCGTGAGCCACTGTGCCCGGCAATTTTTTGAGACAGAGTCTCACTCTTTCACCCTGGCTAGAGTGCAGTGGCATCATCACAGCTCACTGCAACCTGAAACTCCTGGGCTCTAGCAATCCTCCTGTCTCAGCCTCCCAAGTAGCTGGGTCTACAGGCACGCACCACCACGCCTGGCTAATTTTTTCTATTTTTAGTAGAGATGGGGTGTCTCTCGGCCAGACTGATCTCAAACTCCTGAGCTCAAGCGATCCTCCTGCCTCACGCTCCCAGAATGCTAAGATTACAGGTGTCAGCCACCATGCCCAGCCTCTATGGGTTTTTATTTAACTTCTTTGGATTTTCTATTTAAGTTTTCAACTCCTACTCTTTTACCGTACTTGTGTCCTCTGGCTTGGGCCAATATTCTAGATTCTATGACATCATCTCAGAAGCCAAAGCACAGCTTTCACCCACCTAACGTTGTCTTCTAAAGTCCATGTGCTGCTTTAGCCATCAGGGTTGTCCCCTCTCAATCAGTACTACCCACCTGCCTATTACCATCCATGCATGACAGGGCACTGACAGTGTTTATAAAAAAACAAAAAACTTAGGTTATTTTCAGAAATGTAACTTTTAAGGAACAAAGAAAAATGCTAACAATGCTAAGAAATTCCTTTTTACAGAGACAACATGAATTCTAGATTCTTGCTTTAAAAAAATCCTCCTTTCTGGCCGGGCGCGGTGGCTCACACCTGTAATCCTAGC